AAATCCCTTGGGAAGAGCTCACATCCAACTCAGGATCCTGCCCATACCTGACCAGCCAGCTTCCCCTGTGGCTGGAGCCAGTCAAGTGACGGCCCAAGGACGGCCCCTGTGGGCAGGGCAGGGCACCAGCCCCTCGGGGCGAGGAACTCGTGGGGCTTGGAATGGGCATCAGCAGACAGAGGCTCTGGGACTGTGCCTTGGCTGGGAGGGTCAGGGAAGTACAAGAGTTAAGTGGCAGTGTGGTCTAGTGGATTGAGCACCGGCCTGGGCACCAGGGGAGACCTGCTGTGCCCTTGGCGTACTGAGTAACTGTGATCATGTCACATCACAGCCCTGTGCCTCTGTTTCCTCTCCCGCTCTTTCTGGCTGGTCAGTGTAGACCAAGGATGGGGAACCTCAGGACCGGGGGACCGGATCTGGCCCCTGGTTTGCCTGGATCTGGTCCCTGAGGCTCAGCGCTTCCCTCCCCTAACACTGGGGAGCCTGGGCTGGCACTCCAGCCCCCTGCCCTCTCCCCGAGGGTTTGGGGCACTGAAACTCTACTAGCTGAGGCCCCCAGGCTCTGGTGTGCGAGGGGAACGTGGGGAGTGCCTTTCTCCTTCTCAGTCGGGGGCCACCTCCGTGAGGTTTGTGGGGTTTTCCTTGTGTCTCACTTGTGTGCGGCCCCCGACTGAATTTTCTGTGGGTCAGTGCCCCTCCCCCCAAAAAAGGGTTTCCCCACCCCTGGTGTAGACACTAGGCCTGTGGTCGCCAACATTTTTACACATGAGATCACTTATTGAATTAAGTACAATCCAAGATCTACCTCAAACCCAAATACCCTAGTCCCGCCTCCTTTGTGCCCCTTCTCTGAGACCCCGCCCCTGCTCACTCCATCCTTCCTCCCTCCCCTTCCTCCCTCGCTTTCACCAGGGGGGGCAAGAGGGTCGGGGCAGAGGCTCTGGTCTTGGGCTAAGGGATTTGGAGTGTGAGAGGGGCTCCGCTTACCTCAGTGGCTCCTGGGGGGTGGTGCAGTGGGGCTAAGGCAGCCTCACCCTGTCCTGGCCCTGCACCACTCCCAAAAGCAGCCAGCAAACTCCCCCCATCCCCAGTGCTGCTGTGCCCCCTGTCTGCTCTATGGAGATAGGATTCAGGGTGGGAGAGGGGGCAGCTTGACATCGGGGCCCCTCTTCTCCCTCCTGTGCCCCACACAGCAAGGGGGAGGCTCTGGGCATAGAGGGGGGGGCAGCTCCAAGGCAAAGGGCAGGAGGGGCGCAGTAGTAGGAGGAGGGGTAGTTGAAGTGCCCGCACTTGATAGGGTCTTGGCCAAACCGGTCAGGATCCCCTGTCAGAGGCGCCAAGATCTACCAGTAGAGCCCAATCGGCTGG